GGCGGTGCCGGAGGCGCCAAGCGGCCGGGGGCCAGGGAAGCAGCTGGGGTCCCTCAGCCGAAGTTGAAGGAACAAAATGTGAAGTGCGGAGCCGCGTCAGCCGCTTCCTGGCGTGGGGCTCGGGGTGGAGGGCGGCTTGTTTTCCCCTCCCGCGGGGGTGAGGGAGCGGAACAGGGGAGGGGCGGCAGTGCGGCGGGGACTACCCCGGGTCCGAGGCTCGGCTGGGCAAGGGCGTTTTGTTCCTGGGAGCCGCCGCTGCGCGTGGGTCCGCTGGGTCCCTAGTTTTGCGGCCTAAGCCGAGCCGTATAGGCCTCGCGTCTGCTTTCCCGGAGGAGACTGACCGGGCGGGACTGGGCTCTTCCCCACGGCCGAGCGGGGGCCTTGGGGTCCTTGCCGGCCTCCTGAGGCCGCCAAACTTAGGACCTTGGTGCTCGGGGCTGGATTTCATTGTGAAAGGCGGAATGGGAAACTCCTGGCGCTGTTCGGCGCCTCCCGCGGCCGCGGCCGCGGCTGCTGGTGCCGAGGAGCCCGGTGAGCCTGGGGCTGGCTGGGCTGGGGCTGGTGGGGCCGGCGGGGTTCGAGCCCTGGGAAAGAGCGGGTGGCGAGGCCGCTGCCGGGTCCCCGGCGTCCGGGGAGAAAGGGCCTTTTCCAGATTAGAGAGATTTGAAATGAAAAGAGAGGTTACAAAGTCGCCCCTTTCCCGCTGAACTTTGGTTTTCTGACCGATAGAGGCCGGTAGAGGACTGTGAACCAAAAGTTGTCCCCCAGGATGGACTTCACCGCGCAGCCCAAGCCTGCCACTGCCCTCTGTGGCGTCGTGAGTGCCGACGGGAAGATCGCTTACCCTCCGGGGGTAAAAGAGATCACCGACAAGATCACCACTGACGAGATGATCAAACGCCTGAAGGTAAGCGTCTGGACGGATTGTTCGCTCTTCAGATGTCTTTGGTAGGAGGCGCTTTCTCCTGTCATATTGCTACCCTGCTCGTTCTGGCCTTTAGAGTTCCAAGTTTTTTAGATCTCTTACGCCCTGTGAAAGGTACTGTTGTATCTCAGATAAGTTATCTTTGAGTAAGCTTTGTAAGGACATAACCATTGTGGGAAATTTAAAAAGAGTGTGATTTTTCAAAAACTTCCTGGTTTTCAAGCATAAGAATTTGTGTGTTTTTAGAGTTTTTTCTGGAGGTATTTAATGAGAATACGGTTCAGAGTGGCTTGCACACTTACGTGTAGGCAGTAATTTGCCCAAGAAGTTTCCTATTTTCAACTTCCGAGGAGGACTGATTAAAGCGCAAAGTCCTTTTTAAAAATTTGCATAATTTTCTAGTGTCCAGAAGCCTAAATATGTATATATTGTGGTTAAACTTTGACAGAAGGTACACTTTTCATAATTCAGGCTTAAAGTAAGATGATTTAAGTCTATACATAGTTCAAAGGAGTTTAAGAGTATTATGGCTCTTTTTATGAGGTGTCAGCTAATTTCGTTTAAGCATGGCAGTCCTAAGGTTAAGGTTTTAAATTTCAGCCTCACGTTTGTAAGTTTTTTTGGTTTCTGTTCCACTGACATAGATTGTGGCCAGAATCTTACCAAATAAGTGATACTCTTCTTGTAGGATCAGCTTGAAGCAGTGGTTCTGAGTCAGGGCAACTTTGACCTCCAGGAGATGTTTGGCAATGCTGGAGACATTTTGATTGTCACAATTGGTGCTAGATTGGAGTAGGGAAACACCAGAGGCAGTGAGTCCGGCTAGGAAACTATGAACAGTAGTCTAGGTGAAAGACGTTGAAATCTTCAGATAGGGCTATGGCATTGATAATAGTGACTAGGAAATGATTTAACAACTTTTCAGAGTTAGAATCAATCAGAATTGGTGGGAGGTGAGGGAAGCAACATTGTTGACAATGTTTCCATCTTGGGCGACTTGGCGAAATGTATTTTAGGGAATGAGCTTGGCCTCTTGCTCTTGGAGCCCAGTAAATGTACCTAATGTTGCATTTTAATTAGTACAGTGTTTAAAATATTCATGTGGTTTAGTTTTCAAACTCTAATTTGGTTGTGCAATTTGTTGCCTTTTTGGAAGGAATAAGACAACAGTTTCTTTCATTAAAACAAATCTATGTGCAGTGGTGTGATCTCAGCTCACTGCAACCTCCACTTCCCAGGTTCAAGCTGTTCTACCTCAGCCTCCCAAGTAGCTAGGACTACCGTGCGCCACCACACCTGGCTAATTTTTTTTTTTTTTTTTTTTTTTTTTTTGAGACAGAGTCTTGCTCTGTCACCCAGGCTGGAGTGCAGTGGTGCCGTCTCGGCCCACTGCAACCTCCACCTCCTGGGTGCAAGCAATTCTCCTGTCTCAGCCTCCCGAGTAGCTGGGATTACAGGCGCCCAACCCCACGCCCAGCTAATTTTTGTATTTTTAGTAGAGATGGGATTTCACTGTGTTGGTCACTTTGGTCTCGAACTCCTGACTTCGAATGATCTGCCCGCATCGGCCTCCCAATATGCTGGGATTACAGGTGTGAGCCACTGTCCCCGGCCCCTTTCATTAAAACAAATCTTGGGCCGGGTGCGGTGGCTCACGCCTGTAATCCCAGCGCTTTGGGAGGCTGAGGCAGGTGGATCACCTGAGGTCTGGAGTTCTACTAAAAATACAAAGTTAGCCGGGCGCGGTGGCACATGCCTGTAATCCTAGCTACTGGGAGGCTGAGGCAGGAGAATCGCTTGAACCTGGGAGGCAGAAGTCTTGGTGAGCGGAGATTGCGCCATTGCACTCCAGCCTGGGCAACAAGAGTGAAACTGTGTCTCAAAAAAAGTAAAATAAAATAAATAAAGCAAATCTTGATACTAAAGATTATATATTAATTGAGGTGCTTGATTGATGCTTCTAAAAGTTATACTGTTTTGAGAATGATAAATTATGAAATATAAAACTTAATTTATGGATCTTTAACATTAAGTTTTCAAATTAAGAATATTAAAACCTTGAATTCTAATGTTAGATAATTTTGGTTACAAAATGGAAAGTTGATGTGTTAGCAACACGCCCTGTTGACATGACTCGTGGAACCTGTGAAGAAGCTGGTCTCATAGTACTAAGTGGTGCTCTAGGAGCAGCTGGGTGGATAGCACCAGGCATATTGGAGTGGATGAGGTGTGGCACCCTGAGCAGTCCAGCGAGGACTTGGTCTTAGTGGAGCAGTTTGGCTAGGAGGAGAGTATGCAGCACGGTTCTGAGTGTGGAATAGCTGCCATGAAGTAACCAGGTGCTGTCTGGTAGGGGCTGATTACATGGTTGGGCACAGCTTGTACACTTGGCCATTCTCTGCGTATACTGGTTAGTGAAATGAGCCTGGCACTCTTCTTTGCTCTGAGCTAACTCTACATACAGTGGTTTTTGTGGCCACAATTCTACCGTTCATTTCTGTAACTGCTTTAGTGGCTTCTTCCAGGAAGGGGAAACATAGAAAACCAAACCCTTTGCTGCGACCACCCTCCATCATAGCCTTTGCACTAGTGATTGTACCAAATGGAGAAAACTCTTTCTGGAGACGTTCATCATCAATACCATTATCAAGATTTTTCACATACATATTAACACCCTGGTATCTGCTGGTATCTGCTGCAGCTACTCCTGCTGTCCGCACCGTTCCACAGTATAAATACGCTGTGGGAGTTCGTAGTCCTCAGCAACATCTTAATGCACAGCCACAAGTGACAATGCAATAGCCTGCTGTTCATGTACAAGGTCAGGAACCTTTGACTGCTTCCATGTTGGCATCTGCCCCTCAAGAGCAAAAGCAAATGTTGGGTGAACAGCTGTTTCCTGTTATTCAAGCCATGTACCCTACTCTTACTGGTAAAATCACTGGCATGTTGTTGGAGATTGATAACTCAGAACTTCTTCATATGCTTGGCCGGGCGCAGTGGCTCACATCTGTAATCCCAGCACTTTGGGAGGCTGAGGCAGGTGGATCACGAGGTCAGGAGATCGAGACCATCCTGGCTAACACGATGAAACCCCATCTCTACTAAAAATAACAAAAAATTAGCCGGGTGTGGTGGTGGGTGCCTGTAGTCCCTGCTACTTGGGAGGCTGAGGCAGGAGAATGGCGTGAACTCAGGAGGCGGAGCTTGTGGTGAGCTGAGATCACACCACAGCACTTGAGCCTGGGCGACAGAGCAAGACTCCATCTGAGTCTCCAGAGTCACTCGGTTCTAAGGTTGTTGAAGCTAGCTGTATTACAAGCCCACCAAGCTAAAGACGCTACCCAGAAAGCAGTTAACAGTGCCATCGATGTTCCTACTGTTTAAAATTGATCAGAGACCCCAAAAGGAACTTGTGCTTCACCAAAGAAAAATATCTAAACATAGAAAAACTTAAATAGGGAAAAAAAATTGCAAAATATAAAATAAATTAAATGCCAGGTCTAGCTAACATAGTATTAGTCCTAGATTACTTATTGATTTAAAAAAAAAAACCCACAAAAAAATAATAAAATATAAAAACAAATTAATGTTTTATATATCCTGGGAAAAATAATTTTCAGCAAAGTACAAAAATTTAAAGTATTCCTTTCTTTAATTTTGTAATTCTTTACCGTGGAATAGCTCAAAATGTCAGTTCTGTTTTAAGTAACAGAATTGATAACTGAGCAAGGAAATGTAATTTGGATTATAAAATTCCTGCTTTAATAAAAATTCCTTAAACAGTGAAAAAAAAAAAAGGACAGTTGTGGCTGGGTGCAGGGACTCATGCCTGTAATCCCAGCACTTTGAGGGCCAAGGCGGGAGGATCATTTGAGCACAGGAGGTTCAGACCTGGGCAACATAGTGAGACCCTGTCTCAATTTTTTTAAAGGTATAGTGAGGAAGTTTATGACTACTTACATACATTTTCTGTTTGAAAATAGATTATCAGAAGTGCTGTTAACTATAAATGTACATATATCAGAGGAGAATGAGTATCGAGTTAGATTATCCATTTGTTATTAGTTCTTTTGGAAGTTAAAATCGACATTCATATCAACCAACTTCAATGTCCTACTGCCAAAATTTTGATTTTCTGAAAAATTCTTTTGATTTTGTATTTCTTCTGCCTTCCTTTCTAGTTTGACTTTGTGCTTATTACGGATCCCTGTTTAAAGTGTTATGTCTCATTGGAAATGTAGATTTTTAACAATACTTAAAGTATTTTTGAAATTTTGTTAATTTTTTATTAGAACCTTAGTTATTGGTAATTTTATAAATTTGGGAGTTTTTTATTATTATAGCATAGCAATAGTGTTGAAATGCTATACAAATACAAAGAGAGCTTAAGCCCGGACACAGGGGCTCTTGCTTGTAATCCTAGCCCTTTGGGAGGCCAAGGCAGGTGGATCACTTTAGCTCAGGAGATCGAGACCAGCCTGGCCAACATGGTGAAACCCCATCTCTACTAAAAATAGAAAAATTAGCTGGGTGTGGTGGCATACCTCTGTAAAATCTCAGCTACTCCTGTGGCAGAGGCATGAGAATCACTTAAACACAGGAGGCAGAGGTTGCGGTGAGCCATTATCGTGCCACTGCACTTTAGCCTGGGTGACAGAGTGAGACTCTGTCTCTTTAAAAAAGATCTTAAAGACAGGCCCAGCACAGTGGCTCACGCCTGTAATCCCAGCACTTTGGGAGGCCGAGGCGGGCGGATTGCGAGGTCAGGAGATCAAGACCATCGTGGCTAACACAAGTGAAACCCCATCTCTACTAAAAATACAAAAAAACTATCCAGGTGTGGTGGTGGGGCCTGTAGTCCCAGCTACTCAGGAGGTTGAGGCAGGAGAATGGCATGAACCCAGGAGGCGGAGCTCGCAGTAAGCCACCATGGCGCCACTGCACTCCAGCCTGGGCGACAGAGCCAGACTCCGTCTCAA